TTCACTTCGTGATACATGTAAATCATTTCCGATTTATATGTTCGTTCCCGTGATTTATAATTTACTATTTTACAATACAATGAATTGAAACCTGAATTGAATATAAATCAGAATGAACATCAATTAGTTGATTTTATAAATGATATTTCATTAACATGCTCTTATCAAGGGTATAAACATTATCGCCTCTTGAAGGGTAAAAGAAAAAATGTTTTGTCAAATGATCATCATTTATTAGATGAAGTAAAAAGTTATTTGGATCTTTCATTAGCATCAGAGAATGAAAGTCCATTAGAATGGTGGAAAGCTCGCACACAAGCTTTTCCATACCTTTCTAAACTTGCATTAAAATATCTTTCAATACCAGCAAGTTCTGTGTCAAGTGAGCGTCTCTTTCTGATGCAGGTAATATCATAAATCAAAAAAGAAACCGTTTAAATTGTAATTTAGTTGCTAAGATGCTTTTTCTAAAGCGAAATATGAAATTCATGAATGTTTATGCACCAAGTTGGGATTCTAATGAAGATATAGAATCAGAATAGTTCATTGTAATTATTGTAATTACTGTTATTTTTAACAATAAATAATAATAATAATAAGATCGTCCAAAAATTCTAAATCCGTTTTGAATCCGGTTCCAATCCGGTTTGCCTGTTTAGAATCCGAATTCGAACCGGTTTGACAAAAATAAACCGGATCCAAACTATAGAGATCGTCACAAAATTTAGCCAATGAAATCAAATGTCCACTATGCTACTTTTTTCGAGATATACAGTACCTTCTAAATTAGTATATGATTTTCAACGTGACTAATCATGAAATCACATTGGCTTCTGGTGATATATTAGTACCCCATGTCAAATAAATACCATTTCTACACTATTTGAAATTCATGTTATTTTCATTTTTCCAAAAAAAATTTACAAAGTTGTTGAAGCTCAATTAATAAATTTTACTTGTAAGAAAAAATGATGATGTAATTATTTAATCATAATTTTATTTATATGTTATTTATTGATTAAAATATATTCATTAATTAAAAAAAAGTAGGGATATCCTATATACAGAAAGGTTCTTTTTTTGAAATATACAGTACCCTACCAAAAATGGAAATTTATTATATAAAAAA